GCGACAGCTGACTGTCTTTTGGCAGCGTGACGACAACAGAAGTGCAGGCATGGGCAGTGCACCGCATTGGTTTAGGTGATTTGCGAGAAATTCCAAATTTTACGTTTCGTGAATGCGTTTTATACTTTTTCTAGCATAATAAGCAGAAGAAAACTTATAGACTGTGAACGAGTGCCCCCCATCAACGATGTTTGTTTACTTCTGTGACGTGCAATGACGAAAAGCCACTGATTGCAGTGGACTCGTTGTGAATAAATAAGTTTCAAGTTTCAAGTTTCAAGTTACCTTATTTGACAGACATTAGTCCTGAAGTAGTAGTTTATGCCATAATTGGGACTCATCCAAGCATTACGTGCTTCCGCTCGAGCAAAATTTGTGTCGTGCTGCCATATTGAAGTTTTTTTTTTTTGGGGGGGGGGAAATGCAGACACTTGGGTAACACCGCCCACTTGGGAAATTCGGTATTTAAAAGCACGTTATGACACCTAACCCAGGAGTGGCGCATTTCAAATAAAGAAAGAACGTTGTTGCTATGTTTCCTTTTTAGAGGAAAATGAAAAATTTCGAAAAAAATGAAATTTTGGGAATTAAAGCCGTCTAGTTATATAAATGAGTACTACATTGTCCCAGGGATATACGAGTAATAAAATCGTTTCCACTGTATTTTATAAATATACTAAAACGCCTCGAAATTTGCGATAAGAAGAACGACTTAACAGTCAGCAATCTGCAAGTTTCGATGCCTGCTGAGCTCGGGCGGTGTTACCTAACGGTCGGTGTTACCCCGAAAAATGTAAACATTTACTAAATGTGGAATAATGCAATTATGAACGACATTACAAGAAAACAATTGGTTGATATGTATGTAAAAAATGATGTGACAATCCAATAAAACTGAGAGATTGATCATTTGGCCAAAAATTACGTGACTAGACCCTAAAAGGTTAAGGGGGTCGGTGTTCCCCCATGTTCCCTAAATGAGGAAAAGAGGAATAGCTAAATGAGGAATGAGAAAGCAAATGTCAAATAGCAGTCGTGAACGCACCTTTTTATTCCACTTTTTATTCGGCGTCAGCAAACAACCTGTCTTGGATATAGTTAACAAAGTTCATGTTTCAGGTGATTTCCGTAATCAAAGCCCATCAAAACCTTTACAGCAGGGTAATTGTTGCCTGCCGGCCGTCTCGGCACGCACTCTGGGTATACACTGGGCAGTGGCGTGGCGGGGCGCCCGCAGGCCCCTAGGGCGGCGTTTACCCTAACAACAGGAAGAGGGTGGAGGGTGGCGCGGCTGACCCCACTGACCCGGCCCTATAAGGCTCAGCTCAGCGCCCCTCCAGAACAAAATGGCGCCGCGCGTGATTTACGATGGGGCTGTGTTGTGACGGAAAGGGGAAGTGGCAATTACCGAGGAAAAAATGAGGGGCTGTATTGAATTGGGGTGTTAGCTTCTCCGATGACGGGCAGCATGCTAGCGTAAAGGGAAGCTCTGACGTGAATATCTTACCTACATACATTATGCAATTTTTACTTTAATGCAATGAGCACATCTATAATAATAATCAGCTCAATAATTTACTGTTAGGACTGGGCCCGAAAAACATATTTATAGGTAATGCACATTATCAGCCCTGTTACTCCAGTATCCCGTCATTGTTATGTCTAATATCGAGAGGGAATTCGCTTGGACTTGGTATTGATAGCAAACGAAATAGATGGACCATTGGCAGCCCCAGGTGCCCCCGCGGTAGCAGCATCGCCTTCATCCGTCTCTATCTGTCATCTAAACCCTCCCTCTCCCTCCCTCTCCCCTCCCCCTCTCTGCAGCCCGCTGAGCTCCCCGTCGCCACCCATTCTCCTCGCTCGGGGAGCGGGCGCGGCGCAGCGCTGACCGCCCCGTCCGCAGCGCCGGTCACCGGCCGCCATTGTCTGATCGGTAATTACGGCTCGCTGACCGTTCTGTCGCTGCCGAGACACAACAAACATCGGGAGTGTAGCGCTGCCCGCCGCCCCGGGGCTCGGTAAGCGCTCTGGCGCAACTCTGGAGCGGGCCCCGGTGGCAGCGCCGGAGGCATGGCTCTAGAGTTGTCACGTGGTCGATGGATGTCGGTGTTTCATAAGTTTGACACGGTTTATCGGCCTTGGTTTATCGGAGACTGACCCGTATCCAGCCCTGACGTGTTCGGTAATGCGTGCTTGTCTGGCATATGCCCCGATGATGACAATAAAAAACACCCATGCCACACATGTCCGATGCAATCGAAATTAACCCCGCGTTCGATGTCTCCCGGACGGCGAAGATTCTACGCCGTCCGGCCAATCACGTTCCACAACCGCAGCCGAGCCCCTGCTGACCTTGGACGGGATTGGCCGGACGACGTAGAATCTTCGTCGTCCGAGAGACATCGAACGCGGGGTAAAAGAACTATATAGTTGAAATATTTTTCAAGCAAAATGGATGCATAATTTTAGTAAGTAGTAGGCACCCGATCAGTCATTGCAGAGAGGTTTATTATGATTATGATGACTTTGTTCAAACCTAACCTATATCTGACTATTAGTATCAACCGCCCCATCGTAAGTTCCGCAGCAAAACTATACCAACTACCGTTCGGGCACAAACGCAGAAAGGCTTGCATGTTGCAGGGCACAGGATGACCGCTGCTGGGCAGTCACCCGGTCACCCAGTGCCATTGACAAGAGGCTGACACAACGTAACGGTTTACATGAATCAGTTTGTGAGCTCCTCTACTCGTAATAATCACATTGGCCTCAGTTGGAGTAAAAATCGATTATCAAGTTCTTGTTAGCAGTCATGTATTTCATTCTTGCTGCTGAACAAGATAATTTCGGTGTATGGGGAGTTGGGACCATTCAGGGTCGTGGGATGGGCACATTCCGCGGAATGGGAGTGACTGGTGGGATAGCCCATCCAGGCGCTCAGTCGGTTCCATTCGAAGGAGCTAGGATCTAACCTCCGTCCACTCTATGGTATTTATAATGACCGTCATCCCGAAAACGTGGATGACTGCGGTATCAGAATAGGGTGAACGAAGGATCGGGATGGACTGCTCCCGTGGGGCGTGGAGAGGGTGAATCAATTATTGTTTGATATGTAGTAGGAGTAGGGCCCTCTTCGGTCTGACGAGACATTCTCAGAGCCCGAAGGATGATAAAGAGTTAGGGCTAGACATTGGCCAGGACGGCCGGCCAACCTGCTGCACCGTCGGGGCTGAGACAGTGACAGTGGACAGAACAGACCAACCAGCACTGTAAAATCCCCACCGCACGTGAGCCTGCTCCTGAGGAGCTATTCACGTCGCCCATGAAGATGATTGTCGAGCCCGAGCCCGGATCAGGGGCCCGACGAGATGGTCGAGACTCGAGCCCTTGCCGAAACCATCTGGCGGGCGTCGAGCACAGGTATATGTTTGTGATTCTACCACCAGATGGCGGCCGGAGGTCATCCGTGGGTCTTCGCGGGTCTCACTGAGCTCAGCGCCTACAGTGCTGCCACCTAGTTTCCAAGTGTGCACCTTCGTAGGTGGCGCTACCGCAGCACATTTACCGCAATCGCTAGAGGGATATCTTTCTATGCAGACATGCAGTCACCGGACGAGGCCGGCAGCCTGTAGGTACGGAGACTGCAGTTGGGCAGAAACGCTAGCACCAGATATTGTTCTAGTCTTCAATGCAGTCTCCCTTGATGAGAGACGCTCCCAATCGGTTACAATCGGTTACGGTACGGCTTGACACTGCAGGCATGGTATGGTGTAGTATGGGAGCAGCAAACCAAAAATTTCTTTCTAAGCGCAGGCATTGACTAATGACTATTGATATTCACGTATAAGCTAAGGCTTGTGCACGAGCGGCAACTATCAACACAAGCATGAGGAATGCGTGTGCTCGAATATTCGATGAAGTCAGAGCTAGCTGGGTTATCATCAAAACACGTATACCGATGTTGTATATCAGGCTGGCAAACTTTTCAGACCCACGACTGTCAATTAGGCCTTTTTACGTATTTCATAACATCCATGCTCAAAACGATGGCGAGCAAATCATCCATGGTTTCCCACATGGAACGCTGCTGTGTGGGAAATGCGTGTGATCGACACAGCCGTTGATTGAGAGGGCGTGTCGATTAGAACAGCCAGGGAAGCGTCGCAACAGGATGTGAAATCGCTACTGGAGAGCCAGCTGTCTCTCTCTCTCTCTCTCTCTCTCTCTCTCTCTCTCTCTCTCTCTCTCTCTCTCTCTCTCTCTCTCTCTCTCTCTCTCTCTCTCTCTCTCTCTCTCTCTCTCTCTCTCTCTCTCTTTATAGGTAGGTAGTCGAGTGCCCAGCAGGACCCTACCCCATACGCTCGTAGTTGACGCCAATATCCAACCGGGTCAGGGGTGTTGCCGACTGAATGGAAACTTCCTTTTCACCCTTCCATTCCTCTGGCTATATGTGAGTCCTGCTTCAGCGAAGTTGGTCGGAAACACACACACACAGCACCTCAGGTAGTCATATTTTCGCACCGTCATCTCTTGATTTCTAGTTGCGTAGCTCAGTGTGGCTTATACTCGTTTTGTGTAGTTGGTTAGCTGTGGACATATACATTTGGACTATAGCCAAAGAAAATACTAAGTTCATTCAGGCTACATGCCTTGCTTACTGTTTCAAGCGCGAAAATAAAAACCGGGCTAATTTCCTAATGTGTTCCCATCATTCCTCCAGCGGGAGGGGAGGAGATTCCGCGGCTACAGGTACAGACAGGGTCGTGCACAGGACGTGATTTATCAGTGACCGCAAAAAGAAAGATTCCTTATTAAACATTGCATTGCTAACAGGTTAACTCACTTTCAAAGAGGTCATCTGACTTACTAAGAAAGGAATGTTTGCAAAAATCACAAGTTTACTGCCACCTTTCGCCTCCCCGCTCCCTGCCCGACCAGAGTCTGAGTCGATCGGCGCCCGTCCCCAGCCCGGACTGACCGAGCCGCCGTCATACCGCGTCAGTTCGTCCCCAGCCAGGCCAGATGCGCGGGGCAGATCAAGATAGCGCCTGGCTGAAGGGTCGGGGCGATCGAACATCCCACAGGGAACAGCGACAGGTCCGGTGGGGCTGATCGGGAGCGTCTCCGCTGTATACTCCGTCTGGCCAATGAAGTTTCAGCAGAGTATATGAACAGCAACTTCCCAGAAATATTGATCAAATTCATGGCGTCTGACCGGCCGAGACCAACAGCCCGCGGCTAAGGTCACGGGCAACACCTCAGGCTTTGTCCGCGGCCGACCGGCCTTGTGGCTAGGCGGCCGGCGGCCCGTGTGCCCAAGGTCGCACCTGAGGGCAGGCGGCCATTTTGAGCAGGCGGCGGCGCCGGCGCACCTGTGCTCCGCCGCCGCCGCCGCCGGCGCCGTCGGCCGCGCCAGTGGCGTGCGATTGCCGGGAGCGAGCGTGCGGCGTCGGGCAGGGAGTCATGGCGGCGCGCAGTCCGCCGGCACACAGTGACGACTCGTCGGAGACGGCGCGCAGCCGCGACGGCGCCGACGGCGAGCAGATCCAGATGCCGGTCCGGCTGCGGCACACCAACGAGGTGGCGTACGCGATCATCGACGGCCGCGTGACGCAGGTGCAGGTGGCCACAGCGGCGGACCTGGCGGCCGCCGCCGCCGGCGCCGACATGGAGAACGACGAGGTGCCCGCCGATGTCGACGATGAGATGAACGAAGAGGAAAACGACGCCGATGAGGATTCGATGGAGGTAACCGGGGATTGAGGAGGAAGGGAGGAAGGGAGGGAGTCGATCTACGAGTCTCGGCAGAGGTGGTGAGGACGCTGTGAAATGTCCTGGGGGAATGCATAGAGTTTTCATCTTATTTGATATTCGCTGTTTGATCGCTGTTTAAAAAGTTTGATATTCGCTTGTGCCTTTGCACCCTGAAGTCATCACATGCTCATTGCCTAAGGCTTTATGCAAATTGACGGATGATATTGATGTTATGGTACCTAGTACCTAGTATGTATAGCTGATTTAGTAGGCTGCCTTGCGATGTCTGTCTATCAGAACTTCGCTGTACATATAGTATAAGTTACACGTTAGCTCTGCACTTTTACGCTGGATGGTGCTTGCTGGCGATATCACGTCACATTCCCCGCACGTGAGTCAGCCGGCGGTGGTTTTGCCAGTTGCCGGACTCTGGTCTTCCCCTCCCCCTCGCGGCAACCCCCCAGGATCACTCAGCTGAGTATTATACCACGGGGAAACCACCAACCATCATCACCCATACGAACCTTTCGGAGAATCGGTTTGTAGCTGGTGGGGTGGGAAATCGATAAGTGATAGACAATTGCGGAGAAGTGGATGAATTCCTTCCCATAGCATGCCATACTAGCCAGCTATTCGATCACTGTGCTGCTCGATTCACTTTCAGCTAGAAGTTTTTGTTGATCGATCAAGCACGACTTGCACTTCTTTCTTCTGCGTTTCCGTTTGACTGTGGTTGTTTTTGTCGTTCCCACTTGACCTTGAACTTGCTCCCTCATCATCTGATGTGGTAGGGGTAGTGGTAGAGGTAATGGTAGGGGTAGTGGTAGGGGAAGACGTAGGGATAGAAGTAGGAAAAGTGTATGTAGACCAGGCTGATTCAATGTGACAGGAGGTGGCATATGTGATTTGGCCTGACCGAAGGTGACCTGACCTGACCCAATGTGACCGGTGATGACACCCTTGGGCCCTGACCCGACTTGACCCCGTATCAATTAAATTACACTCAACGAAACCCTAAGCAAGTTTCCTCTGCACATTTCCGTCTAAATCTATGCTTCCAGACGACGTATTAATATGAATCCAACACCACTCGAAAAGCTAATTGGCTGCTGCCAATTACAAACATGTAAAAACATGAAAATTCGACAAAGTGAACCGAGGTCATCAAAAGTCAATGACCTGACCTGACCTTCAGGTGACCTTGACCTCTACCCTAATGCATGGGAGCAACATCGAATTACATGTTTGAATGCTTGAAACCACGAAAAGACTGCAAACGCGCGGCTAATGCGAGCCGACATACGCCGAATCGCGATTCCGGCCAAACATGGTCTCAGAAAATAGGTCACAGGTCAAAGGTCATTTGGGTCAGGGTCATGAAGTTTTCAGGGTAGATATGAAATTGATTAACACGAGGGTACCGAAAGGTCCGTCGCAATCGGCCGCTTTTTACGCGAGTTATTTGCGGAAAACCTTAGGGGGTTGCATCACCCGCCGTGCCGGCGAGGACTAATGGGTGCCACGTGACACGTGCTAGAAAAATGCGTATTTCCTCAGAATTTTGTTCGGCTCTCAAGTTTCCTTCAAGGCATCGGCATCCGAGTTCAATGAACTTTGAAAAGAAAATGCATGGCAAGCGGGTGCCTCTCATTTGTTTATTGGCAGCTTATTTATTTTTATAAACAGAGTCGAATGCAGGTGTTGATTTTCGTTGAATGGGGACAGTTTGTAATACGATTATACAAATGCACCGCGCTTGCCGCAATGCCACCCCTGCCGCGCGGTAGGGGTGGCAGGCTGCCATAGGGGCCTCCTATTTCGACACAAGTGACAAGGGCCTCCTGTGTGGGCACAGGGACCTCCTGTACGGGCACAGTGACCTCCTATTGGGGAACAAGGGCCTCGTGCGTGGGCACAGGGGCCTAATCTGCTGGCACAGGGGCCTCATATGCTGGCACAGGGGCCTCCTGTGCGGGAATAGGGGCCTCCTGTGCGGGCAAAGGGGCTCTGTGCGGCAGGGGTGGCAGGCTGCCACCCCTGCCCCTATGGTGGCGCCGCCACTGAGTGCACGGTTCAAAGGATATAGAAAAGTCAAAAGCGAAAAACACAACCACAACATCCTTTAGTGGCGCCAGATAACCGACATATAGGGGAAGAGGGGGAACACCGACCCGCTTAGCCTTTTAGGGTCTAGTCACGTAATTTTTGGCCAAATGATCAATCATAATAATATAAGAATATCCAGTAACCTCATAATATAAATCAGAAATAGGAGCAAAAAAGTTATATTTAGAATGATCAAATATTTCGCTCTTGGAGCTTCATCAGCGATAATTACAGAAAAACATACGTTTTAAACGTGGAACGACAAAGAACACTGCACTGCAGGTGTGCACTGTCCACACCTGCACTTCTGTTGTCGTCACGCTGCCAAAAGACAGTCAGCTGTCGCCCTAGACCTTTTTATATTTCCGATATCGGGGTGGGCAGTGTTCTCCAAAGGGTGGTGTTCCCCCGTCCTCCCCTATTTGATAAAGATCAGAGCCGCAAATGCTCCTGAGGTGAGGTTCCTGGAAAAGATTACCGGTACACAAAGCTTCGTGGACATTTGTTCCTGTTCGATGGACTTTCCAGGCTGCAGGCTGTCGGTGAAGAATAAAACAAAGAGCGGCTGATGGTGTCAGCCAGTCGGTTGTCGGCCGCGGAGTTAGTCAGTAGCTGCTCGGCATGGCGTCCGCCCGTTCCACGCTGGCGACAGCTCTGCTGTCCGTCGCCTGTGGTCAGATTATCTTCGATGGAGATCAGCTGGGGCGTCAACTGGTGAGAGATTGCGGCGTGGCCCAGCCCAGCGGAATATTTTCCCCTTCACTTACTACTCGTCTTCGCCGCAGCACTTCACTGCTTTCCCCAAAGACGGTAGATCCAGGACTTAACGTCTCTACCGTTGTCGGTGGTCAGAACGTGCAGCAGGAGCTGGGCCGCTGGCCGTGGGTCGCGCTGCTCGAAGAGCGACTCGACGGACAGCGCCGCTGGAACTGCGGCGGCACGCTCATCTCGGCTCGCACCGTGCTGACGGCGGCCCACTGTGTGGTCGGTCGGCGGCCCTCTGACCTGACCGTCCGGCTGGGAGAGCACGACCTCTCCAGAACCAACGACGGACGGCACGTGGATGTCTCCGTGGCGCGCACCACGATACACCCGGGCTACGTGGGTAAGCAGAACGACATCGCGCTGCTGCAGCTCAGTCGGCCGGTGACGTTCAGCCGCAGGATCCAGCCGGTCTGCCTGCCGGCCGTCGACGCCAGCCACACGGGCAAGACGGCCGACCTGGCCGGCTGGGGGCGCACCGAGTTCAACGGCGAGGCCTCGGACGTGCTGCAGGAGGCGCGACTGCGCGTGGTAAACGTCAGTCGCTGCGAGCAGGCGTATGAGCAACTGTTAACGTTCGACCGCGACTTCCCCGGCGGATTTCAGGGCACTAAACTGTGCGCCAGCAGTGCCGACGGAACGTCCAAGGACGCGTGCCAGGGCTACTCGGGAGTGCCTCTGGTGTACAGAACCACTGGGATAGAGCGCCGCTACCAGGTGATCGGAGTCGTCTCCACAGGACTGGGCTGTGGCAACCCCAAATACCCCACCATCTACACAAAGGTCTCCAAGTACATTGCGTGGATATTTAACAACAGTAGTTAATAAGATCTGATGACAAGTAGTACCTATTATTATGGATAAACAATGGGAACTATTTTTATTATATTATTTAAGAATGGCGACATGTTTTTCGACAAAAATATTTTTTCTAGCCTTACTATCCAAATAACAATAATTAAAACATTGGCCTGATTGCACATCATAAAATTGAATAATGTGGCATAACAGATAGAAAATTCGTTCAAAGAAACATGTCGTGCCTTTAGAAGGGGTGATTCAAGCTATACCTAGGGCACTGGACACCAACAACGTTCACCCAAAGATACAATTTACCTTGCGAAGACGAAGAAAACGGTACGCTAGCATTTTTGGACACGCGTATCTGGAACCGGGGAATTTTGTTTTAAGATGGTGCTCTCTTTGCAATTTATCTCTTTGCTTAAAGTGTTTGCGGATCTTCCGTTGTGTTGAACCGACCGACTTAGTATGCGAAAGCATAATATCACGAGTTTTGCTTTTACCGCCTTCATGTTTTAAGCTCAATAACCATGGTATCATATAAATCCAGATATAAATCTACTAAAAAATCCTCGTTTATCCACGCGCATTGATTTTACTTAAATGTTTTTAGGGGTCCTCTATTCGCAAAAAAAAAACCGTCTAACTTTTTGAGAAGCCCTAGATTGTCTCATGCATTTGTACAGCATGTCGACGAGGCTGTTCACCTTCTAGACTAGAACGGAATTTCAATTATGTGTTGTAAAAGAAACATAGACACTAGACAGGCTTCATAGGCAGCATTCATTATTTTCTACGCTCTATATTTTTGAATGACAATGTTGGTAAAATCAGTAGGTACACGGCTCAGCTTCTTGTAAGGGATCTGGCGAACAGGAGTGCGACATAGTTAAAATGCGACATGTTTCTTCAAACGAATTACTATCGGTTATGTCACTTTATTCTCTTGTATGATGTGTATTTAGGCCAATGTTTTAATTATTGTCAGTTGGATATTAGGGTTTGAAAAAGACCTTTTTGTGGAAACACGTATAGTCGTGTAGCCATTTTAAATGGATATGATTAAAAATAGTTTCCATTTTTTATCCCATAAAAACAGTAGCTAGATACAGGACGCAAATTCCTGTGAACCGTGCTTCGGTTCATCATTTCCTGAAATATCGAGGCCTGTTTACTAAAAAATAAGCTAATTTTGAGAGAAATAAGAAACGTTTACAGGAAGTTACATCTGGTTAGCAAGTATAGGTTTGATTTCCATCGATCGCTTTTATGGGCCTTAACGATACCTAGTCCATTTAAATAGTTTGCGGCTCTCATCTGGACGATTCTTCTCGGAGACGGATGCACGTTTACATATTTTGTTTATTGTGTGATATGTTAGTACGCACACATGTCGACGCATTTAGAAAAGCAGAATAAGTTTGTCCAACATGGATATGCATTATATGTTTCTACTATACTATTTGTAAAATGAAACTCTGTCTTTCTGTCTGTCTGTGTGTTTGCACCGTGCAGAGGTGTGCTTTGACGTCGTGCACAGGTTAAACGGTGCGTTCGAGAAGGTTGAAAATCGCAGGGTGTTTTGATGACGTCACGGGCATGTGCAATGTCGAGTTTCGCGTCTTGGTGGTGGGACACGCTCTGGAAAAAGGCGCATTTCCTCCAAATTTTGCTCGGCTCTCGCTCAATCTTGCTTCAAGGCGTCGGCAGCCGGGTTCAATGAACTTTAAAAAATGCATGGCAAGCCTCAGCGGGTCACAAACGGTACGGTCGAGGGGGTTAAAATTTGCACACGGTGCTCATGACGTCACGGGTACGTGCAGTGTCGAGGTTCGAGCCTTTGGAATTGTAATGTAGATGTCTCAATATATTTCAATATTTTTCAGTACTATGCTGTTCCTCTTCCTACCCTCCTTGCAAAGTAAAGCCAGGCCGTATCACCTATCGCTGAAGTTTGATACCATAGTTAAGTATTTGGTACCTATCTAAGGGGTGACAGCAAACACATCACAGCAAAGTGACGTCCAACACATTCATAGTAATTCAGACTGTCAGCGCTGAACACTATCAAGCTATATAACTCCGGACTGTTTCAGAGATTAACGTTAATAGACCGCTGGAGATGCTCGCTGCATTTCTGCAGAGACACATGCCCTTATGTATTTTATTTTATATCATGAGTTAGATAAGCTCTGGATATATTAAGAGCATCATTTACCGTCTTAACCAGTTATTAATGACCGAATTGAACTCATCACTGTCTCGCTAGAAAGCGATGTATTCATTGCTTTCACTATTAATTAATAAATACAACTATCTAGCTCAGCTGTTATGAAGTTCGCCTCATTCTGAATACGGATTGGCTTATCTGCTGCTAAGACTAGTACATGCTGTCCCTTGACAAACTGGGCGTCTGAGCTAACTTTGTCATTGACAATCGGGGATAAACTAATTTCTTTTAGCTTAAAAACAAAAAGAAGTGGAAAAGTCATGGTTTAGAAAGAAAGTAAAGGTCCCAAAAGATTTCAGTTGAAGCTGGTTCCGGCATTTTCTACAGTATGACCGGGGATCTCACGGTGACCTGATGGTTTCATTTTGCAACTATTTAATTTGTATCTACGCGACGTGGCAAATGCTTCTGTCCAAGTTGCACATTGCACAATGCATATGTCTGTGCACTTTGTATCGAAAGCTATCGAGATATGTATTACTTGACTGGCAAGCACCTTCCATGTCTCAATAGCGTATTAGAAAAACAAGCCCGCGCAAAGGAGTACTTCTTCAAAGCCAGCGACTGCTCATTCAACCATAAAACAGATTGGTCACAGATCACCCGCCTTCTTTCCACACCAAAGAAGCCAGAACGCCGTTCTCCATTTGTTTCCTGCTCATCCATTCAGCTCACACTGCATGATGCTGACGCGGAAAATAATTATCAGCATGTCGTGCACGAGTGGCGCCGCTAAATCAGCATTGCGACACGCCTGTAATGCATTTCCGCCGGCTAATCACTGGTGGCAGGCTCGACGCCGACCGCCCGGGACGGACCGTCCGTGCACAGTCGGTGCGTCAGTGCAGAGTGTGCACAGTGCAGCGATGACTCGGCGACTCGGCGGACCCTCTAATGTTTGTCTAACCGGCCGCCGCCCGTGCATACACATCTGCCGTTCGGTGGGGTCCGCGGCGCACGAAGCAGCAGTGCGCCGCTGTGTGTTCTCGCACGCTGGCGGCATCTTGCGCCAACACCACTTAATGGTCCTCCCACGCTCCACAATCAGAGCACAATGCCGATCTGCGATCGGGTCAGAAGCGCCGCGTACCTCGTCAGAGGAGCACCGCGTGGAGGACGCGGCCGGCTTTCTATTCTATGGTCGGTTGTCAGGGTGATAGTGGCTGTAAAGAGCTACCAAGAGAGAGACTCTCACAGAGAGCGGAGCCAGAGCCACGTCTCGGACAGTCCGGACATACATCATAGAGGCCAGACGATCCGAGATCGCACGCTAATAAATTGAGCAGTAATTTAATGCGTTCGGCCCCTACAAAGGAGCCGACCGACTATTTGCATTCGACCGTTCGGATTTTACAACACATCAGACGTTCGGGAAACGTTTTCCATCTGTGATAAATAGCTGAGTGTAATTTACTGCTGCCCTAAAAATAACAGCACTTTAAAAGTAGTCAGCAAACGTGTTCACTGTTCAAAATGCGCTATAAAAATGGCGTCACTCCCAAATGCCGATGCATTAAGTTTGATTGCCACTATTCAGGCACACACTATTCAAATAAAGGGGTTTCGTCGAAAAATAAAATCAAGAAGAAAAGACCAACGGACTAGCTGTTTTTTATATATGTAAGCTGTAAGACAATTTTAAGTTAAAAGCTCGTTACCATTGACCATGAATTTAACGCATACATTTTTATTTCATCCGTGTAACACGAGCTTTATAAGATGAACAAATGTCGAATCAAAATCAATTTGGATATAAGAACTTTGGTAAAAAGCCACTTGTTCTATATCAGAAAATCTATTTACCAATTTGCTGCAGTGTGCCTCAAAATCTACCGATGAAAATGTTAGTTTTAGGCATATGGGGCAACATTAATCAAAAAGATATAAACTCACAGGAAATGCTGTATGTCAGTATTTTCGCGGTGAATTGATTCTACGTTTATCGATTTTTATTTGCATCATTAAAGCATGAATCGTTCCAAAATCCAAAGGGGATAGGTACATTGTGCACAACAATTATCTATAAAACCATTCTCCGAACAAACTATGTTTCCTTTTCTAAAACAGCGTCATTAGCAATCAATCTCGTGTAACGATGCCGGCTCGGCGGGCTGGCCAATTCGCCGCGGCCGCCGCGGGCCGCCGCGGGCCTGTCTCGGCCGGCCGCGCGCGGTGTAATAGGTCAGACCGCTCCGCTCCGTTCCGCTCGGCCCCATCATTATCTGGGCGCCCCGAGCGTCGGCGATCGCAGCCGAGAGCGAGCCAGCCAGCCTCCGCCGCGCCGGCCAGGGCAGAGCGCGAGAGGACGTCCAGGTATTCACCACGTGCTGACCAGCAGCAGCGGTCCTCTGAGGAGCGGAGAGGAGGATAGGGGAGCGGGGTCTGGCGGTGGAGAGAGTTGGAGGACGGAGGTGGGGCTGACCGGACGCGGACAGGACAGTGAGAGGGTGCCGAGTGAGCAGTGTGTTGGTTGGTGAGACAGAGAGGTGCAGAGTGAGCTAAGTGGAACACGAAGGTCGGGTAGCGGTGGCTGGTACGGTTTCACGTGGAATGTGACAGGTGAAATCAGCGATGTTGGAACAAGAGGACAGAGACAGCAACATGTCGTCGGCCTCCGCGGAGGTGAGCTTGAAATATCAAAAGAAACATAATGCTCTGTGTTATGTAGAAAGTCGTCATTTGTCTATTCAACCCTCATAATCGAAATCTCACTTGTAGCTGAAACCCGTCTGTTAGTTTTTTTTGCGTTTCATATAATCTATTGAACTATATTCTGATGTTTTCCTGTTGATTGAGGAAAAACTTTTTGACAATACCATGTAGACGCAGTTGCTCCGGTACATCAACATTCCAAAAAAATGCATGCCTTACTTGACGTCAATGTCGGCAAAATCCTAGAAGCCATTGCCATTTAACCGGTTGTCAGTCGCTCGGGAAGGAACAATAGCGTTTCTTGGAGTTGACATCAACAGCACGCGAATTACAAGCAATGACGATCACTTCGTGAGGCAAAGTCGCATGGGCGGCTTTCAATAGATGTGTCTATGAAACAGTGCGACCAACTAAACCTGTGAGCCATGTGAATGTCATGCTAATTGCAAGTTTCTACCATGCTTAATATCGAATCTACATATATCACTCGCTCAACCTAGCCTTGACCAGAAAAGCAGACCTAACAGATAAAACGTGTTATTGGCCAGTGTCCTTGACTGATTGAAACCTCAATCGATCTCTGTCTGGTTAGATATCTATAGCCAGCCCCACGGGCCGTGCAGTCAGAGTCCTGTGATCGGATCACACAGCGTGACTCGACCATGGTACTGCAGCCAGTGAAGCGTGAATATTTGTGCGGCCGTGACTGTCAGGCCGACCAGCGCTCAGCTCTTCGGAGAAACACTCTAGCTCCGAGGGGTTGACCGATTACCGCGTCACTCATACATCCATCCATACCAGACAGCGAGGGACAGGGGTGGGGAGGGTTTCGACAGCAAGCAGAGTGTGAGAGCCAGTGGCGGATCCAGGGGGGGGGGGGGCAAAATGGGCATTTGCCCCTCCCAAACGGCATAATGTTAACATTACGCCTATGGACGAGGCATGGAAAGAATCGATAAATTGTTATGGTTTGCCCCCCCCCCCCAAAAAAAAAACTCTGAGCTGGATCCGCCACTGACTGAGCACCATTTTCAGTATCTCGATGTTCGATGTTGAGGTTACAGGAAAATCCAGTCAAACCTTCCATTTATCGAGAATGTTTTGATTTGTACTCTTATAGTTGTGTGCGAATACAAATACAGCATTCATATGGACAATGGCAAACATTGGCTGTGTGAGGATTCATGCAGCATGAACAAACGAATCCACTTAAATAATATGTGTCCTAAAAATGCCTCCTTTTAAAAACAAAATCTATAGCTCTTGCAACCATTCCGCGGTATATTTGTAGAAATTGCTGCAGACGGCATCAAGTGTAATAATACAGCTCTCAGGTGGATCCTGCAGCAGCAATCTACATCACTTTTACACGTGGACAACAAGTGCCCCATTTTTCGTTATCGGATAATCCTGCCGCTACCCCTTTCAACTCTGTTCCCAGTAGCAGGAAATATAACACCCCTCATCTGCCCTTAGAGCAGCTGAATAACTCACCACCCCTCCATGTCACTCCAGCAGCCGATAGCTGCGCTAACACCCACTCTTCTCTCTCCCCGCAGGACCGCTCCGGCGGCCACCCGGCCGGTATGGCGGCCATCACATCCCTCTCGGGCTCTCCAACATTCAGCGGCTCGACTCGACTCAGCCATACGCCAACCTCAGAGTTCCAGCCCCCCTACTTTCCGCCTCCTTACAACCCGGCCAGTGTGGCCGATCAGTTCCAGCTGCATCACGTCAATGCCGCCGCCTCGGAGGTGGCCTACCAGCTGAGCACGAGCCTGCAGCAGCAGACCTACCCTATCTCGGCCAGTCTGGTGGCGCGGCGGACCGACGGAGACACGGCGACTAATAATGTGAGTACTCGCGTGAGATGCGATGGAAGGGAAGGGAGAAGGGACAAGGAATACCAGGGCGGAGAGCCGAGAGGAATGAGGCAGGATGTACGAGGATAAGGGAATGGTGCCAAACTAGCCAGCGACTTTTTCCATATGTTTGTGCTTTTGCACTTGGCTTATGGAAAATAATTGCGATCTCTCATTTTTGCATTCCTAGATGATTCCTAGTAATGCAATATCACCACTAGTGACGTCACCAGCACACTAATGACGTCACAAACAGTCCCAAAGGCGCCTCGCCGCCCCGGCGCGCTGGCAGTGCAGGATAACCATCTGGTCGGTCCCCACGCATTCCCGGTCGATCGGCGTCTCGAAGCCGAAACGTGTTCTGCATACTGTATGAGGCCCCAGCACAGTCTCCGGGCCGCTGAGCTATCGGCTGTGTGGCTGGCTTCACAAGTAGAGTTCACTGAACAAAATGGTCGCTGTGGGGGATGTGGCCTAGAGCCCCAAAAAGCAAGGGTGCGTTGAGGCAGCCTAGAGACAGTTGGGGTTTGGCTTATCAGCGTTCATGTGTGTAACTCGTTGTCTGGGATGCATTACAACAACTGCAATGACTCCGTCTAGACGCCTGATTCGGATACTCCCAAATGATCTGATGTTTTATGACGACAACAGACCGCCCACCTCATGTGTCGTTTGATTGTCGTGACCTGACCGCTGACCCTCTGTGCACCCACAGGCGTCCAACCTACATATGCACGACTCAGTACGGTTCTCGAGCCGGCCTGAGACCGTGCTGATGAGAGCCGGTCACGTGTTAGGGGAGACCCAGGACGCTGTCATCCTCCCAAACTCGATACATGGCATGGACGATGGTCAGGTGAGTGACGAGGCAGGGAGAGAGGGAGAGAGAGAGAGAGAGAGAGAGAGAGAGAGAGAGAGAGAGAGAGAGAGAGAGAGAGAGAGAGAGAGAGAGAGAGAGAGAGAGAGGAGAGAGAGAGAGAGAGAGAGAGAGATGCCACCGAAAAATGAGGACCGCTGAATATACCTAATGGGTTCATAACGAAACAGGAATTTACGCTCGATTTCTTTTTTATTCCTTCAAATTTTCGCTCTTCGTCTTTTCTCCTCATCCTCCTTTTTCAGTAATTATGCAGCCCCACACCGACCGTTCTCGTCTCCCTGCTGGAGACTGCGAGAAGCAGTGCTCCGCCCGGCTGTCTGGTTTTTAACGCCACCTGCTCGTGAGGCGTGGTCGGTGCGGTCCGCAGACTGAGAGTTCCCAAGGCCGGCTTTTTGTGGGCCCGCCGTGCGCTGCCGGCTGGGTAAGGCGGGCATAAATTACCGCCACAGTATCGCCGGCCGACTCCGGGTCAGAGAGCAGTGACGTCAGAGTGACGTCATCAGAGGTTCAATGTCAGCGCACCGCACTGGAAGGTCGTTACGGTGGTCGACCAGAGATTGAATGAGTTTTTTTTAAATAAATTTAGCTGGAAGTTGAATGAGCCCATTGATAAAACCAGAGCCTATATGCTAAGAAAAACTTTTCAACGGCCCAAGCCGGCACCGTTCGATCGAGCAATTTCAGACTGAATCGGGAGAATTCGGATGCTAAAGAGCATCTGAGCTGGACCCGGCTCGTTTCAGTGAACTGAACAAAAAAGCGGCTGCTCCCGCCAAGTACGGACCAGTCCGTCAAAAGTCTTACATATCGAGCGCCGCAGAAACTTGACTTTTGGCTCTACTACCGGGAGTTGGATGCTCAACCGTTTTAGTTACAAAACGGGCAAATTAATAAATATGTCAGTCAATCATACAGACTGAATTAATCAAGTCTAATCTGCAAATGCATTACTACGCACTGCACTGAGCATAACCCTTGCTCCTCTAGTCATTGCACTGTTACAGTGCGTTTTCTTCTCTGTCGACCGTGTTGCCGACTATCAGACTTGTGACAGCTCAAGAAAAAAGTGAGCTCGCTCAGCTCAACTCCGTCTTATCCGCTCCCGCTCAGCTCCCGCTCAGTTTAACGCGGCTCAGCTCAGCTCACGTTCCGCTCAAACCGGCTGCGCTCCGCTCACGCTCAGCTCAGCTCAGCTCAGTTTCCGCTCAGCTCAGCTCAGCTCAGTTTCCGCTCAGCTCAGCTCAGCTCAGTTTCCGCTCAGCTCAGCTCAGCTCAGTTTCCGCTCAGCTCAGCTCAGCTCAGTTTCCGCTCAGCTCAGTTTCCGCTCAGCTCAGCTCAGTTTCCGCTCAGCTCAGTTTCCGCTCAGCTCAGCTCAGTTTCCGCTCAGCTCAGCTCAGTTTCCGCTCAGCTCAGCTCAGTTTCCGTTCAGCTCAGTTCAGCTCAGCTCAGTTTCCGCTCAGCTAAGCTCAGCTCAACTCAGTTCCCGTTCAGCTCAGCTCAGTTTCCGCTCAATTCAGCTCAGCTCAGTTTCCGCTCAGTTAAGTTCAATGCCACCCATTGCCGAATGCCGAATGCCACCCATATCTCCGTAACGTTTCGGGGTCCGGCCAATGACGTCACGGCAATGCGTGTGTTGATTGGTCATGGACATCGAATCATCGGGACACAGGTCGGGACATCACGCCGCAGTGGATAAGGATACCAACCGAACGGCTTACAACGGTGCGAACGGGGTGCAATAGAGGAATGTAGCGATTTCCCGACCGATCGCTTCAGTTTGCGGTGTCGAACTACATGGCCTTTCACCTAGTGACGTCTTTGGTTTGTATATAATATTCTTTCCAGTTTATCATGTTTCTAGTGTTTATAGTGTATCAATAGGTATTCAATGCACATTGCATTCGGTTTTATATTTTTATCCGTTCTCATCATCTTCCAGTGTACCTACTAGAACTGGATCAGCTCAGCTCATCTAAATCAGCTCAGCTCAATCAGCTCAGCTCAGCTCAGCTCAGCTCAATCAGCTCAGCTCAGCTCAATCAGCTCAGCTCAGCTCAATCAGCTCAGCTCAGCTCAGCTCAGCTCAATCAGCTCAGCTCAGCTCAATCAGCTCAGCTCAGCTCAATCAGCTCAGCTCAGCTCAGCTCAGCTCAGCTCAAGCTCATTCAGCTCAGCTCAGCTCAAGCTCATTCAGCTCAGCTCAGACAGCAGCTCAGCTCAATGCATTACTGAGCCGGCTCAGCTCACAGCTCAACAATTTGGCAAAATGTTGAGCCGGCTCATGAGCTGAGCTGATTTTTGAGCCGGCTCAACTGAGCTGATCACAAGTCTGCCGACTATTACCCCTGAGATTTGAGAAAACTCTGTTGAAACCACCAAGAGCTTGTCGTTGTGAACCTTGTCATATATGGCGTAACTAGACAAGGATGGCGCAGATAAAGACCAAGACAAAGTCAGTAGCTTTTAACCCTCGCCGGCGCAGGGGGGGTTGATGCAACCCCCCTAAGGTTTTTCGCGAATAACTCGCGTAAAAAGCGGCCGATCGCGACGAAACTTTCAGTACCCTCGCATTGATCAATTTTACACCTACCCTAAAAATTTCATGACCCTGACCCCAATGACCTTTGACCTGTGACCTCTCTTCTGTGACCATGTTTGGCCAAAATCGCGGTTCGGCGCATGTCGGCTCGCATTAGCCGCGCGTTTGCAAGCTTTTCGTGGTTTCAAACGTTCAAACATGTGATTTGATGTTGCTCCCATGCATTAGGGTGGGTGTCAAGGTCACCTGAAGGTCAGGTCAGGTCATTGACCTTTGGTGACCTCGGGTGACCTCGGCTCACTTTTTCGAGTTTTACATGTTTCTAGGCTAGTTTTTGGAGCTGAATTCGAATTTAGCAACCATTTGAACATATACGAAGTAGTTTTGGTGCCTTCGTAACATGTTACGAAGCTGTCCGAGGCGGTTGACACGTATTACGAATACCCGTCACAACCCCTACCGGTTGACCTGACCTGACCTGACCCGACCTGGTCTAAATGTGAAGACATCATCTCTGATCAAAACTAATCGATATTCGTGATCAGCACCCCGGAAAACCACATAGCAGCCACACTTTACGACTTTCTAACATGTCCCGATTTTCCCGGTTTTCGGGTCATTGACCTGACCTGGAAGGTCACCCGATGACCTAGGACCTTAAAATTGGGTATCATCGGCTTCCTCTCGTGACGGGCAACACGCTCGTTTTTTTCGGCGAAGCTCTAGCTCGATTAGGGGCCAAACGCGAGGGGGGTCGTACCAACCCCCCCCCCTTGTGCCGTCGAAGGACTCAAAATGGCCTGTGCCGGCGAGGGTTAAAATGGGCCAGCTAGTAAGATAAAGGCTTTTGATTTGTGCTTTGCTAAAGAAATTGTAATCAACTGATCTATACGAATATCCCAAATAGGCATAGCTACTGGTTGAGGTAGATCAGCAACTGATCAATCAGCTGCTGTGACTTGTGAGCTACTGCAGTCCCTTGTATAGCGTTACTTTGTTGTGAGCTTCTATAGTCTGTGGTACATACAGGGTGTTCACTAAAAATTGAGACAAAGTTTAGCAGGCTGTATCTTCGGTAAAAATGTACCGATTTAAACAAACGAGGCATTGTTGTAATGCACATTGCATCTGCTGCAAACCGTAGAGCGTCAACAGATTTGCCTGATTCCCGTAGGTCATTTTTTTGACATTTTCTTGTAAGTGTTTTCACAAGGTCTGGCACCAGTGGACCGTGACTTTGGCCAATTCATGGCGGTAATGAGCAGCCAGTTGATATTTTGTATCAAGTTTAAAGACACCAATATACGTAATAGCCTTCGGCAAATCACATTAGATACTCATTTGTTAATTTCAGTCGTGGCAAATGGCTTATCGGGCCTTGTTTCAATCATGCAATTTTTACATCGGCCGGAGCCCCCAAGGCGCCCCTTGATTAGTGTGCTGGCGCGAGGTCAGACCAGAAGATCACTTTCTGGTTACATATGTTGTTCTGCATGAACCTCTAGTGCTAAATAATACACTTGACTCAGAAAGTATCATATTGTAAAGGACCGGCCTGGAGAAATAAAGTCGAACTGATGATATGCTCTGAAATAACACACGTACCACGGCATCCAGCGTTAGCTTGGATGCTAAATGGACGTTATCTCTTGTATCATTGATAACATCACTACAGAACACTCCATTGTCTAGTTAATTGTCGCCCTTTGACAAAAACATGACTTTTCTTCCTTAAATAGATCGGTCTTTTTCTGCAATTTGTGGCCCTTTCTTGACCATTGTTTATTTACTTCTCTTGCCTTATGTTGTTCCCAGTCGCTTCGAGAAATCATTTACGCCGGTTGTAACTCATCCTAGCCTCAGGTGTGATATATGTTCTTCGCTTAGGCACAGTTAATACCTTACTGATCGGCAGCATTGCATCGTGAGGTGCCAAAAAGCCCCTCCACGTGCATTTTCGGGGCCCCGACCTTTCCTTTGGTCAGTATCTTCACATTTGCACCACTTCAGATTTTCTGACTCCCACACCCACTGGAACTTTCGTCCCACCATACGGTATGTAACTAATTTCGACATTTTAAGCTTTCATTAGGTATTTGTACGTGCCAGACTCTCCCATTGACGTACTATTTTGGGAAAGCGTGCCAATTGGCTTTCGGTGGTCCTTATTTAAAACAACCTCCAACGCGACTGCTTTCATTACACCCATGAAATTTTATGCTCGGTATGATACAAAAATGTCCCTTTTATCTCCATGCTAAGTTGCATCGTAATAGCTTGCTTCACTTTTGATGTGCATTCATTCAAAGTTTGTGTCAATTTTTAGTGAACACCCTATATGTACCTACCTTCCGTGTTACTAACTATGCTCTGAGCTAATGCAGTCTCCGGCACTGTGCTACTTTGCTGTGAGCTAGTGCAGTCTCCATGATGGTGGTTACATTGCTGTGAGCTAATGCAGTCTCCCAAGCAGTCTCCAGTTTGGGCAGTATGGTAGCAATATGGTAGCTCAAAATCAAGTCAATAACGACGTGCTTGTTACAATCTGGCGTGGCAGCTACTCTGTTCTCTGCTGCAGACATATGAACTTACGAATATGCTAGCAGACTCTGAATATAGGTATTTTACAATTTGGAATTTTAAGCCGAATTTTTCTTGATGCCTTATTTTATTCTTATGTAAATTACCACTCAAAATGCTTAATTCATAACAGTATTATGCAAATTTCACCAACCTTTGATTGGCTTTCTGTCCGCGCCGATATTCTGTCGAACACTGTGACTGACCGCAGTGGCGTTGTGGCTTATTTCCAGGCTTACTTCACTGACGCAATGTGAAAAATTATATTGATGTGTAAATACTTGTCTCCTAAGAAACGTGTGCAGGACGTGTCTCCAAAATCTCCAAAACTCAGTTGTTTTTAGTTTATTGCTCTTGTGCTGTTTGCCCTGCATTTCGTAATTATTGGATTGGGACACAATGATGTGCGAAGAAGTTGAGGAGGTTGAACTGGAGTCTGATGAAGATATGGGTTACGTTATGCCCGTTATGGTGTGTTTAATTATCTTTTTGCACAGTTTCTCATGCATAAGTGGTTGTAACGCACTCATGGGTGACAAGAGTATGATACATTTATACATTAATTAAACAAGTGTGTTTACCGTGGTCAAATCGCTCATCAAGTTGAAGTGTTGAAATCATTTACAGCGCTGACTAATGTGTGCGATGCCTTATCATCCATTCTTTCACATTTTACGTGTCTTCTGCTGCTTTTTATTGTTCAGTGTTTTTGTTGCCTTTTTGCCTTTTTTTTGCAAATTCAAATTGTTTATACCCTTGTTGTTGCTGTGCCTTGTTGTAATCAATTGCTTACTTTTGATTTTATTTTCTTTATTTCAGAGCATTGGGATAGATAGTGACTCCTTCCCAGGTAACTAATGTCTTTTTATTTACTTTTTGAATCAACAATGATTTCAAAATATGTTGAGCTATCTCACGATAGATGCCTTACTGTTACTTATCTTGTGATACTCTTGTCACTTTGTAAGTCAACAGCACTATTTACTTTTTATTAGATGATTAAGAACATATTGTTTTTGTTTTGTGTGTGGGTTTAGCCCATTATTTTTCCTTATTTAACTGATTTTTAACTTAAGTTTGCCTTTATTATTATTTGTTATCAAGCCACTGAACAAGTGAAGATGGTGTGAATATGATCTAAAGTGTTCTATGATTCCTCACTTTCCATAGCTAACCTGATTACATCGCATGGGTTTTTGCAAAAGCATAAGGCTACACATGCTTTACATGGTAACCCATCACAAGGTTGTGCCTGCTTTACATGATTTCTCAACACAGGATCTCACATAGACAAAATCTGCTATCCTTCCTAACAAACTGGGACCTGGGTAGCCTCTTTTAGTCTTTTGACTCTTGAGTGTGACTTTTTCCTGAGAGTGCTACCGGTCCATGACTCCACAGCTCCTATGTGACTGTGCAACTGCATGGGCATATCTACAAAGTTATTTTACTCTTTCCCTTGTCAATGGTTTGCTTAATCATATTGCTCCCCCACTTTATGCATGAGCCAGTATGCCAGTAAACAGTTTATTGATTCACTTTATGACAATGACTGATGATTGCATTATTACTTGCTTCAATAATTGTACCAGTTTCTTTGTTTTAGAATTTTTCATGATCCTTGACGTTTGATACTCTCCAGCATGCATGAATGACAAAATGACACTGGATTGTTGACTTCTTAACTGTGCATTTTCTTCGTTACCTACCTTCCACTCCTTACCATACATTCCGCTCAATGTCATGTCCTCGCATTATCACCATCAAAGCCACAATTTTCCAACTTCATTGCCTTTCCCGAGGCTGTAAGAACCTAGCATGAACCCTGCTGGCGCGTCGCCCTCCTGTCCCCGATGGTTGTCCGTGGCGCGGCCGCTGACGGTCCGTCTATCTGGCGGTGCTGTCTGTGCCGGCAGGCGTCAAGGCCGAGTGGGAGGACAGTGACGCCCTGCTGCCCAGCGGCCTGCATCCGTCCGACCTGTTCTGCAGCGTGCCCGGTCGGCTCTCGCTGCTCGCCTCCAACTCAAAGTACAAAGTCAATGTGGCCGAGGTGCGCCGCCGACTGGCGCCGCCCGAGTGTCTCAACGCCTCCCTGCTCGGCGGAATCATCCGCAGGTGGGTCCCATCCCCGCGGCGGAATCCCCCCTCGTCCCTGCGGCGGAATCCCCCCTCGTCCCTGCGGCAGAATCCCCCTCCTAGTCGGCGGAGACCCCTCCCCCGGCAGCCCCTTCCCTCGTCGCTTCCTCCCAGGGTGCTCGCGTTAGAGCATCGACCTCCCCTGGCGCCGGGTGGAAGGCGGGCTGGACGAGGCTGTTCGTTCAGTGATACCCGTGTGGGAGAGCTGGGAGTTGGTTTATGAGTGAGGTTGTAATCTTGAATGACGTTTGACCCTGAAAGGGCAAGGACGCTTTGACAAAGCCCAGGAGACAGACGACGGAGATTCGACGACTAACGGTGCCGGGCTGGCGTAGCTGACCTCGCTCGGTCGTCTTTTCGAAGTTTGCTTTGGAACGTGCATGCTCTTTTTCCATTGCATGACAAAACTGCTTGCCAATGGTTTTCTGCTTGAACACCACATACACTGCACAGTGCACACACCTCACGACCTTTCTCCTCGCTCATTTTTTCCTCACGTTCCTGTCACTTCCTCGCACACTGCACCCCGTAGCCACTCCCCCACTCACCTTCTGGCCCAGCGCTGGGTATTTCTGCCTTGCCCTGCACCACGATAACCGTCCCCGGCACTCGCTGTCGGCCTGCACGCGCAGACTTGTCTCGGGAGCTGCTGCCTACGGATATCTTCAGTTCGGTGCCGGGCCGGCTGAGTCTGCTCAGTTCCACCTCCAAGTACAAGGTGACGGTGGCTGAGGTGCAGCGCCGCCTGGCCTCACCGGAGTGTCTCAACGCCTCGCTGCTCGGCGGTGTGTTCAGGAGGTAAGCGTAGGAGTGATGGCAGACGGACAGACGACTGGCGAGCAAAGCGTGGTTATGTCGAAGCTTTTGCTTGGATTGGTATGAAAGGGCTGATTCTCACGTTTCTTTTTTTTTAGTGGCTTGGGCTAGTTACAGTTTTGTTATTGTCGTTTGTGGATTACCATTTATCGTGAAAATTTATTCATTGATAAATTAGACCCTTTTAAGGTGATTGGTTCGAGCAGGTCACGATTGAGTTATTCCATAAGCCAATTGTAAGCACACATGGATATCATTTTGGTTCTCAAATTTTGTCGACTTTGGCGACTTCTCAATACCTATTTTCATGGCCGTTGGTTTGAAGCTGTCCAGTAATATCGGCAATTTTTGCGGGAAATACCGGTTACCGGACAGAAGCCAGTGTTCATTTCGTCACACCTGAGACTCTGTGTTATCCCTGGCCGGCTGCGGTCGGGCGGGGAGCACCGGGGTTTACCCGCTCAAAGGCCATTCAGCGGCTGTGTGCTGGCGTGTGGGTATGATCCGCTTGCTTGTGTGGCTTGCCGCGACCTCTTATACCGAGGTGGTAGCGCTGTGAAGCGTTACTTCAAACATTTTGTTTGTCACTGCGCACTCTGACGCAGCTCATCCTTGTCGATTATATTGCTTTGTTGACATTCACACTAATAACCGCGTCCGCTTTGACCTTGGGTTTATGGTTGGCTGCGTCTCCCTCCTCTCCTGTGCGGGCCACCGTTGCCGTGTTGTCGATTCACACACCGTGCTGTTGACGTGCCGCGCGCCGTTTCCGCGCTGTCGGAGGTCGCCGCGCCGGCCACTGCCGGCTCACCGAGCCAAATCTGCACCCGTCTCGGACCGGCCCGCGCCCCGCAGCGTCCAGAGCTGAACTCTGTCGACGATTTATGGACGGAAAGCATGCGGGCGGTATTACTGCGAAGTGTCTCTCTGTAATTGTTCACGGAATGGCTGCCCGCGGGCCGGCCGGTCGGCCGGAGCGTTGGGCTGTCGCTGAGCGCTCTACTGCGCGCCGCTCGGACTGCCCGCCGGTCTGAGACTACTACTGCAGTGTCATCGGGAGGCTGAGTCCAGAGTCCAGAGTCCGCGCTCTGCCCTGCCGCGCCGTCCGCACTCGGGATAATGATAGTGTGTTGCAACGGCGCTGTTCTGTATTTAGCGCACCGCCAAGATGTTAAGGTGAAGAAATACGGTAATGATGCTCCTTCTGGGAGCGGTCGTAAGGTTCTATTTATGGCTGTCGGACTGTACAAGATTGAGGCTGCGTTTTACTTCCGAAGCACCTAATTCAGCAATGGGTTTAACAACACGGCATTGTCACGGCATATTGACTTTGGCGTAGATATCTATATCGTTCATCGCGCTGTGAAATGCATTTCGTCCGGATCTTTCACTGGTCAATAACCCCTACGGTACTTTGCATAACAGCGAAATCGGTGCTGCAGATGAGCGAGCCAGCGGCTATACGAATAGGCCATATCTGCGAGGATTCATTAACATCCGATCAAAAACCACACCTCCTGACCGACTACCAAAAGCGCTGCCTTCTGAAGCGTGAGTGAACACAAAGTATACGACCATGCTTCTGGTGCCGCCAGGTCTCATCTCATCACCCATTCATGGCGCAACTTCGGTGGCGCTTTGGGTACCCGGGGATTACCCGACGACCTGCCAAGGCAGCTGTGCTGCTGATGTAATTTGTCCACTCGTTTTCCTGAATGGCTGGCCATAACTGGATGAGCGGGTTTCTAGACTGGTTTCGTGCTCTCGTTTATCTGCTGACCGACTTGTTTTCCGTCTGCTTATGAAAAGACGACGTTCGATTTCATGGCATGGGCTTGATGATTTCCCGGATTGATATGACGGCATTGTTTTCTGTTCCTCTACAATGGCAATCAATTTTGTTCAGCAGGTGCTTATGTGTATTTTATGAAGAAGTCTCTTCTAGTATCATATGACCTTTCCTCGTAAAATATAAATTAGCAAAAAGGATATATTGATATTGATATTTCGATCACAGATCTTCGTCGGAATTGTTAACAAAAGACAGAATAAGAATACATTTCTTGTCTGCTCCTATCTTTATCTCCTATTTCACTATTCGTTATCACGAGCAATTAAATCTTAAGTACATCCATTTTTCAAATCATGGTAACTTTTAGTCGACATACGAATACACGTAACTGAAATTTGTTAAGCCTAATTAACAAACTTCTTACATTAGAAAATGCAAATCAAAATCCTAAATTGTCGCACTGCATTCTAACACTCATCTACATAGGTATACGAGACAGGTATGTACAGCCCTCTGCAGACTGAGTGGTAGGTATTCTTTTTTCGACAAAACCAAGAATAACGCGAATACTATGCTATCGGGCACTCGGAAATCGTAACAGCAAGATGCGCGAGACTCCGCAGCTTAGATTGGCATTATCATCGTATGCATTTTCCATCCAGTTTGGCAACAAAACCCAAAAGTTTAGATTTGCCACCAAAACGAACTTTTACATTTTGTTGCCGCTCAAGGCGTATGTTTTGTTTATTGATAGGCCCTATCGAAGGAGTGGAGCATGGCGCATCTATTTGCAGTGAGTTTCGACCGACTGATAACATGACTTTTGAATCATTATCAGTTTTGTCGGAAAAAGAATACCTACCACGCAGTCTGCTGAGGGCTGTACATCCAGTGACACACATCCATACACTTACATAATAGGCCAAGACGATACATTCGAGTTCAGTTCCGGTCTGCGTTTTCTAATCAAAATAGACTCTATATAGGAATATGGGAATATGGAATATCTTATGGGAATATGGAATATGGAATCTATAGGAATATGGAATCATGGAGAGGAGGAGCTGTTCAACTTTCTGACATACCTCAATGGCTTGCACCCAAAGTTGAAATTCACCCTAGATCACTAAAAAAACGGAAAAGGGGTCCCTTTCTTAGACACCTATGTAACGGTAGAGTCGAATGGAAACCAGACAGCTAAAATAGAGACAGAACTGTACAGGGTGTCCGGAAAGTCCTGGCGCTTTTCAACATTGTTAAGATAAATGCCTTTGGTCCATAGATACTCAACAATAGAACGAAACAATGACCAGGAACACCAAGCCACATCCTTCTGCTAAGTGCCCATTCATTGTAACCACCGTCTATGCCGACGACGGCCTCGACGCAAGGGCGGAAACGCCTGCGGGTTTTGACGGTGCAGGACATTTCCTGTCCTCCCATGCTGTCATGATGCGAGTGTTCAGGGACTCCAGGCTGGGATGAGAGGTGGCCTAGAGCTTATTCTGCAAAACGCGTAGCATGCCTTAGTCGAGCGGGTTAAGGCTGGGATAATAAGGTGGCCTAATCTCATTTCACCACGGTGATCTGGTCCGCCGAGCTCCTCTGTCAGTTTGGTTTGGACGGCAGCGGCGTTGTTGGAGGGCGCTCCGTGCTGTTGAAGTGCGACATGACCCTTAGGGCAAGTCGCCTTGATTGTCGTGTCCAGGAACCCCTCGTGGACCAGCCTATCAGTCATTTATTTGACCTTGACGAAGATGATGGGACATTTGTGTCCATCAGACCCAAGATTTTCTTCGATTGCCGCTGAAATGCTGGTTCAGTCTCAGCAGCTTTGGCATACCGTGGTTGTAGCTGAGTGAGAATATTTTCTAAGACATTTCCGATCTGGAGTGCACCTTTGCCTGCTCAACCGTTCGCCGGGAAACGCCGCATCGCGTTGCAACTCGCGCCTCGTTCAAGCCGCACCGGGCCCCCGCGCGCGGGCTCTCAGCGACAAGGCGCATCTTCGCCCATATACCTAGCACTGAAAACGGTTTCAAGGTCATATTTACGCGACCCCTAGCTGAGCGGTGAACGAGGGGTCATATCTGCGGTGATTGGTTGAAAGTCCAATAATCACAGCGCGCGTTAGACGACGTCCAAAAGAGGCGCCAGAACTTTCCGGACACCCTGTACATAAAACCGACGAATTCGGGCATTGTCTTGCATGCCACTTCGGCACATCCCACGTCAACAAAACACAACATGATCAGGGGCATGTTTCGCAGGGCACTGAACCTTTTTTCTAGCAAAGCTAAGGAAGCCTCCAGTGTGGAAAAGATCCGTCGTTTACTGGTAAAAAATGGTCATTCACGTAATCTACTCAAGAGGCTCCTCAGAGAGGTACAAAACGACAAACGGACAAAGCAAAAACGTGGGGACACACAGAAGGCGGGGGATGACGGTTATTTGACTTTGCCATACATCGATGAGCATTTACTGTGCAAAGTGAAAAGCATTATTAAGAAATCTGGACTCAATGTAAAGCTGGCTTGGCGAAATGATATGAAGTTAAAAAAACGTTTAGTTCGTTCAGCATTTAGCAAGCCTCGTTGTCCAGGGGGAAATAGGTGTAAGCTGTGCAAGAGTGGGTTCAAAGGCCAGTGTACACAAAAGAATGTAGTCTACATGTTAACATGTAAACTGTGTGGTGCAGGAACGACCAGTGCACAGTACATAGGAGAAACGAAACGCCCGATACGGCTTAGGTACAATGAGCATGTGAGAGACGCCATTGGCAACAAACCAGACACCCCCATGGGTGATCACTTTGGAAATGTTCACCCAGATGCCAGGGACATTCCTTCTAGCATAAGTGTGTCAGTGCTATATAGGGCAATGGATCACCCAGATCGCAAAATCGCAGAGTCTATTTTGATTAGAAAACGCAGACCGGAACTGAACTCGAATGTATCGTCTTGGCCTATTATGTAAGTGTATGGATGTGTGTCACTGGATGTACATACCTGTCTCGTATATGTAGATGAGTGTTAGAATGCAGTGCGCCAATTTAGGATTTTGATTTGCATTTTCTAATGTAAGAAGTTTGTTAATTAGGCTTAACAAATTTCAGTTACGTGTATTCGTATGTCGACTAAAAGTTACCATGATTTGAAAAATGGATGTACTTAAGATTTAATTGCTCGTGATAACGAATAGTGAAATAGGAGATAAAGATAGGAGCAGACAAGAAATGTATTCTTATTCTGTCTTTTGTTAACAATTCCGACGAAGATCTGTGATCGAAATATCAATATCAATATATCCTTTTTGCTAATTTATATTTTACGAGGAAAGGTCATATGATACTAAAACTGCTTTTACTAATGTTCCTCGCACAAGCGCTCAACAACATTAAGAAGTCTCTTCTTCTTAGCTTGCTTTTTTCCTCCACGTCCACTGGTTAATTTTTCAACGACTGTTTGTTTTTCTTTGAACACCAACTTGTCACCGTGTAACTTTGAGCCCTGGCACTCATTCTCTACAGGCCGTGTCGTCTTTCCCTGGGTGTTACACCGGCTGGTCTCCCATATCGCATCACAATTCTCTGTCAAGCCTGTCGGTGTGGCAAATTCTCCTGATTTTGGTTATTTCCCTCAGCCCTTGTTATCTATCGACATGGGAAATTCTACCACTATAGAACTTCTGCGGAATCGCCTGACACAATGACTGCATACCACAAGGACCTGAGATCGACCGAGACATGACAGAGACGAACATGTGTTGTTAGAATAGCATAAACATGCTGACTAAAACGGCTGACTAGTCGGATGACCGACTGTGGTCACCAGACTGCATCTCAAGACTGAATATGTAAGTAGGTACTGGGTGCAAGACGTTGAACCTGGACATATTAATTAACATGTTGATTGTTGATGTGGTTGAACTGAGTGGTTGAACTGAACTGGTAGTAGTGGCAGGGGCACTGACCCAGTCATGCCCCTAGCTTGTATGTGGCCGTGATATTCACTGTCTTCCTCGTTCAGATACGACTGTGAGCAGTAGCTTTTAATGTGTTTTTCAACAAGGAGCGTTACATAAGTGCATTGCATTACGTTGCATAAGCGTTTATCATTCATCGCATTTGTTATGAAATGCTAGTCTATTTTTGTGGTCACTTTTCCTGGAGACTGCAGTAATACTTCGGCGAAATGCAACTCTGTGTCGCTAATAAAAAGACACTTGTCCGTTATTGCAATGCTTAACATTTCACGTGATCTCCATATGTTCATGATGTTGTTCGTCTGGCTCATACTTCGTGCCTTGGCATCCAATGTTACGTTTCAACCTGACGAACATTGCCCCTGACGTTCCCTTGGTGGGAATCCATCACGACCACCGCCTTACGCTGCTGCTCCGTTGCAGGGCCAAATCTAAGAACGGCGGCCGTCTGCTGCGAGAGAACCTGGAGAAGATCGGTCTGAACCTGCCAGCCGGCCGTAGGAAGGCGGCCAACGTCACCCTGCTCACGTCGCTCGTCGAGGGTAAGGAGTTGAAGGACGTGGCGCCCGACTGGTGGGTGGAGGGTACCCGCTTGTCGTTAGATGCTCACTAGGCTGGTTAATAAGAGATCTATGGATACTGGATAGATGCAACGGATAGATACAATGGATAAGTAGGCAATGGGTAGATACAACAAATAACGTAGTTCGAACAATTTACCGATACGTACCCAGAAATGGCACGTCTGATCAGTGTTGTGGCTGGAACTGGGCATGGCAAATATTAGATAGAAATATAATCCCATTTCTCACTCATGGTAAATCTCTGGATTATCCCATGAAGTACACTGACATTCTGTGAGTCATTGTTCCCGACCGCGAGCTAGCTACCTCATGCACAGTGCACAGATCATCGTATTCATAATGCACCACGCGGCGCGCCGTCCGCAGTATAATCCTGACCGGGTATCGGAGGGAAATTCCCGGAAGGCTGATGCTTCGGAAAACACGGCTCTTGTCTGAGTACACGGAGTCTGGATGTATTTTATGGAACAGGCGATGTATCGACTGCCTTCAGGTCGTCACAGTAATTTGCGATCTGATATCTTTAGGTAACAATGGCCTAGATTATGCTAAGAAAACGCTTCTGCTTTTCAGTTTCGTTTGTTTACTTAGCAATATTGTGCGTAATACTTGTGTATTTTCATGTATCTCCATGTTGTTTCAACACTTAAATTGTCTGGGAATGATCCAGCGTTGCTCATTCACCCTGTTACAGTTTGCTATGCCTTATCCCATTCATTCTATGTTGTACTTGGAACGCTCATTCGGCTCACTGTTCTCCTACTCCCCGCGCTCCGCCGAGTCCCCATTACCTCTCAGCCAGCCTCACTCTCTGACCACACCCTCTCTCGCCACCGCTGAGCGCGCGCCGCGCAGCGTCCGCTCCAGTGCGCGCGCTGTTGCAACACCTCCCGCCATCGTCGGCGATCCGAGACGATACTGTCGACCGGGCGGTCATTAGCTGCTCGTCTGCGGTCTGGGAGACAGTGAGAGCGAGTCAGAACGGCCGGGAACGGGTGGGCAGGAGCGGTGGTGATTGATGGACGGCGGTCGCCCCTCCTACCCTGACGGGCCGAAGCCAGTGGCTGTCACGGTGGCCCTCCCGCTGCGGGTTGGAGGGAAGGTTGGGGTTCGCTGAAATGTACCAAGGGATGAGGGGGGGGGGATGCTGAACGAGATGCTGGATGGTAAGGGGTTCCGCGTGTGGTTGGTGGCTCTGAAACTTCCTAGGAACCTCTCGCTAGTTCCGTTATTTTCATTTGGCATCCATGGCTAGTCCTGTTTGTCTTCAAGCTTAACGACAATTCATACAACGGAAACATCTCTCTTATTTTAACATCGCCAACCGTGCTTCAATCTGGCTTGCGCTCACCTTTGTTAACACTAAGCACTAAACACACGTATGCACCTCTGTGATATGCATGCCTGAGGTATCCAGGTATACAGAAGCCAGTGAGCCGTGTGACGTATACATTAACCTCCATGGCCCGGTTGCTCTCGAAGGAGATCGTCATAATCAGGCATGCAAGATACTTCAAGCCTGCACTGTGCACATGTTTAATTAGTTTCAGACTCCCTGACCCATGTCCTCTCCCATATTTTATTGTCTGGTCGTTGACCTTCTTATGCTCCTGGTCACACATACAGTCATACGTATCCTGTGGTCGATCTTTTACCCCGGCAGCTGCTATCATAAGCAGTACTGCTCCCCTTCACCTCTGGCCCGTGTCCCGATCGCAGTGTCCCCAGTCACTCCAGTCTGTGCTGAGGTCAGTGGACTAGGCAGCAGCGGGTGACTGGGACTCCTAGAGTCGCTCTCCTGTATAGTGGTAGTGGTAAACAAATGAGGGTGCCACTCAAACAAATGACGTGGCGAATCGGGCACTGCTCATCTGTCCATCGGTTTTGTTCTTTGTTAGGTGTTATTCACTTGCCGATAAATCTCCTATTTCTACTTTGCATTCTTCCATTTACTCTAACTTTGCCCGGCTCCTTCGTGCAACATTGACAGCTCCTTCGTGCAGTTACTTGTAACAGTTTCGCACTGTCACAGGCGCAGCTTCCCGCCCTCTCTGAAATTTACTTCTTCTGTTTGCCCTCGCTGGGGTGTTTTCCTTGGTCTCGTCTTACATCCTTTCCACCAAGTCTCACCGCTTTCACTGTTGATCCCTGATCAACCCTGATTGACTCTCGTTTCCTACCCATCCCCATCTTTCTCACTCAACTATTTCCCTCTTCATCGCTCGTTTTCCTTCTAGTTCCCCTCTTTCAGTTTTGTATCTAGTTTGCCCCTCTCTCACCCCCCTCTCCCACGCTCTTTTCTCAGGTGAGGCGATTCACCTGGCACGTGACTTCGGATACGTCTGTGAGACCGAGTTTCCGTCTCGCCAAATCGCCGAGTACTTGTGCCGCCTTCACTCCGCTCCGGCTGAGCAATACCAGCGGCGAGAGCTGGTCAAAGCTACCAAGTAAGTACCGGTACTCAGTACCAGCGACGAGAGCTGGTCAAAGCCACCAAGTAAGTACTGGTACTCGGTACCAGCGACGAGAGCTGGTCAAAGCCACCAAGTAAGTACTGGTACTCGGTACCAGCGACGAGAGCTGGTCAAAGCCACCAAGTAAGTACCGGTACTCCGTGCCAGGGGAGAGGGAGTCGAAATTTACATGTAAGTACCGGTACTCATTAGGTATCGGTGGCGAGGGACGGTTGAAGCCACAAAGTACCGGTAATGGGTGTGAGCTGTGAGAGGTCTGAAAGAATTGAAGTTTGGAGGCGTGATTTTGTTGTCAGGTTTGTTTATGTCGTAATGATATAATTGAAAGACCTTCTCAATATCGATATGGCTGGCTCTGTGACCAAGAGCGTGCTGCTGGCTCTCCAGCGCAGACTGTATGAAGTATTTCACTCTCCCACCCTGCTCCCCAGCTGAGACAAATTGTCCCCTTATAACCCCGCCCTTCCCCGTCCCTTCTACAGGGAGATCACAAAGGAGCTGATGGACCTGCTGAACCAGGACCGGTCGCCGCTGTGTAACACGCGGCCGCAGATCATCCTGGACCCGCAGATCCAGCGGCATCTGACGCACTTCTCGCTCATAACGCACGGCTTCGGCAGTCCGGCCATCGTGGCGGCGCTCACCGCCATTCAGGTGAGAATCACGGGTGCTCATGTGGTGAGAACAGTGGCTCAGAGGCGCTCACCGCCATTCAGGTGAGAATGACGGGCGCTCACCGACTTAGGAGTGAGAACAGGTTGCGAACGGCACTCACCGCTATTTAGGTGAGAACAGTGGGCGAGCAGCGCTCATCGCTATTTGAGTGAGATGACGAGTGTGCGATGTTCTTACTGACCAGTGGGTGAGAATGGAGTGAGCAGCGCCCTGGTAAGAGCGGTGAGAGTGCGATGCTGTTGGGCGAAAACGGCGGTGCTATCGTCGAACCGAGTGAAATTGATGGTTGAATGGCGCTTACCGCTATGGGTGAGAACCACGTCGACACTCCCGCTATCCGGTAAAAAGATCACCGGGTCGATGGCGCTCACTGATGATAAGTGAGATGAGGGGTGAGCGGCCGCTGGCAGGCTGAGTGATGTTTGACGGTTGATTGGTTGAGAGGGGCTAAGAAAATAATGTTGGCAGGTTGTGAAAATGGTTTGTGAATCAATCGCGTTGGTTTTTGTTTGAGAGTTGTGAGCAGGTACTTCTAGGTGATTTTGATACGTTTTAATGGATCGTGATTGTAGTCTTGATTGGAAAAGGAGGCATCTTTATTTCGTATGGCCAACGTTCAAGCTTCCTAGCAATGAAATCACACAGAGGCATAGCCTAGCGACCCGCTCGTAACTCGCGTTTGCTGCTTTTCCGACAGAACTACTTGAACGAGTCGATCAAGTACCTGGATAAATCGTTCCCGACCAACATACACATCCACCTGGGCTCCCCGGGCCTGGACGGAAAACACAAGGACCTCGACAAGAAGTAGCGGCCGTGCTGCCGCGTGACGTCGCTGGTACTCGGTCGCTGATTGGCTGCTGACGCTGCGGCGGACCAGCACTCTCAGTGCTGGTTTATGTGGCGTGCTGCTGTCAATATAGGTGTCCAGTGAGTATAAAACACACACAGAGCGTCAGTTATATTCTGTAACAGTGGGACCAGCTCTCGGCAGGCCTGGTGGTGTGCCGTGGCTATTCAAAGTGTGCCATGGAGCGGCCTGCCCGGCTCTGTTTATGATTTGTTTGCCGGCGGTGCTCTTTTGTATCCTTTTGTACAGCGAATGTTATGGAAAATGCCGCGGGTTGTTCCAGGACGGCTGTATTTTGTCTTCCGTCAGGCAGCGGGTCGATTTTTGTATGAATAGTGCCTTCTGCGCGGCCCAAGAACTTGGTGGTAGAGCTCATGGACCCATGACTGTTCACCAGCCTTGCTCAAACCGACCAGTGGTGCCTGACGCGGCCACCAGAGGCGCTGCGGTCGCATGGTGCACCGTGAATAGAAATAAATGCATGTTGGGGCGGGACATGGTGCTTCTAAAACCCTTTGTTTTACGTTTTGGAGCGTGTCCATGGGGAAACCTTGTAATGTAACCGTATTCGTCCTGGGGCGTTGACGTGTTACATCGTGTGAAATGAACTATAGGTAGCTCCGTTTATTCGGTGACATTGGTGCTTTCGAAAGGTTTACTCCGAAGCGCGTGCGGCTTGTTGGACTGTGTCTCAACACCATGGGCCAAACAGAGACGCGTTAATACTCATGACCGCGGAGCTGTGTCAAAGCATTCCAGTTTGATTTGGGGCACAACTGACCGCGCCGACTGGCGTTTGCCCTACGACTGCGTACCCGGACCTCTCTGCGCCCCAGAGTCCAGCGCTGGGCGCGGCTGTCTGCATGCTGTGTGTATATTGTTAGTAACGGATCGAGCCGCAAATTCGCAGCGTGTGATGTCAATGCATTTAAGCCGTTCAATAAAGTCGTCCCGTGACCGGCAAACACGAGTGTGACAGTCTGAAGTCGGGTGGCCTTTGGTGGACATTTATCTAAGCACTTGGGGAGAATGGCTATGGAAAACATGGGAAATGGAAATGGAATGGAAAACATGGCTAAAAGCATGTTTTGTATTGCATTGTTGCGCTAACTGTTGCGCAACGGCGGCAGAACTTAGTGTCCGTCACAACGGCACAACGCACCCAAATTACGCTAGCATATTGATTTCTCATTATATGGGTATGCAAAATGACTAGGCAGTTTGTATGAAAATACATTCATGGCTAACTACTGCTGCTGCGTAAGTCGATATCTACATAATTGGGCCAAGTGGGAATCGCCGTTGGGTCTTTCCATCAGGCTAGCGAAGTTAGTGCATTGCGCAATGAGTATATCATGATTATGATAAATCGCTCAGCACAAACAAATCAGCACCATTCCAACGTTCCTAATTACGCTGATGATGCGGATTGCGGTGTAACAGATAAAAGCAACAAGCTACCCTGTTTGCTCGACTTCTGCAACGATTCCCCTTTAGAGGCTCGATGCGAGTGAAATCAATAGATGCAGTTCCCGGTGGTTATACAAACAGCATTTTCAGCATGCTGTTCGCCAAATGATGACTATCACAACAGGGGGGCAGACAATAAGTAGAGATCATCTTTCAACTTTCAAGTCTCGTAAGACGAGGCCGTACCTATGGCAGCCACCAGTCAGCATGGGCTCGGCTGGCTGCTATGACTTATCTTCATAAGGCAACACTTCGACGCATGATAAACTGACATAACAAACAATATTTACACTTCCCAAAACTGAACCATAGCTATTGTCCCTCTGATCATACATTTGAGGAAATGTCGCACTCGCACGGGATATTGCTGCCCTACAGTCCACAGAGAAGTCAAATCTGCGGTAACCCGACAGCAGTGTCCTCTACACCACTCGCCACTGCAGGAGGGTAGCGTCAGTTCCTCCAACCGTCACCAGGTGGCGGTCGGTGCGCATGAAGCGGGTGCAGGCCACATGTGCGCTCTGAGGTGTGTAGCTGTGACACTGGGGCATGTCTCGCTTGCTCAGAGGGCATGGATACCTGCATGAAGAAGAAGGGCACATCGAATCATCAGCACATGACCATTACATCACACCGAAGGTCGAGGAATAGGAAGACAGCAGTCAGGCAAAAAATGACTCGAGTCTCGTATGACAAAGAAATGCACGAACAGAAAATAAATGGACTAGGCATACGACAACTTACCAAAATTCTCCACAAATTAAAACCAGATATGTGCGAGCAACACTGTTGAAGTCACGATTCTCGAATCTCGAGGCGTTCTCAGTGTAATCTAGTGAGAGGTGATGTCTTGCGGTACAGTCTACCTGCAGGCGCCTACTACTAGTGACATCTAGCGGCAAGAGTATCAACGACTGCAGTGCGGCCAAACTCCGGGCGTCCGTTAGCATAACAATGAGAAAACCCACGCAAAATGCTCCCAGATGTTTATTTCAAGTATTTCTTACAGTGACGCAGTTTTATATTGAGATGGAAAACCGTATCATTGCTAGAGCTTTGATTGACACCGTCAAAAATGATCAATTGTGGATGAAGACAGCAACCAACTCTGAGCCTTTCCAACACATTTCGTCTCTGACCTGTAGAGCTGCAGGCCTCCCTCCGAGTCGCCGACGGCCAGCAGCTCGTGGTCGAACGACCGACACGCGGTCACCAGCACCTTGGCCTTGTCGGCGTCCACATAGCTGTCTGACCACACGCCCAGCTCCCTGATAAAGTGCAGGTCCGGCCAGGCACCTGGGGGAATGGTGGGAGGTCACACATCAAAGTCCGGTCAAGTCTACCAGGCAAACTGGAATAAATGGACTAATGACTAATAACTAATAAGTAATAAGGTTAAGTTAACCCTCGCCCGTAAACGGTGTTTTGCCACCTTCGCCCATGCAGGGGCGAAGGTGCAGGGTTGGTGCGACCCCCCCCCCCCCTGGCGTTTGAAAACGGAGCGTCGTAGAGCTTAGCAGAAAAGACCAACGGATTGCTCTCAACGAGATCTCGCGATTGGTGGTATATTTTTGGTCCTAGGTCAACATTTGACCTACCTATGACCGGTCAAAGGTCAAATTTTCGGAAAAATCTAACTTTTTTTTCAGATTTCCGCGCCGATTGCGGCAAATTGGTAAGAGATATCGACTTGAAACCTTCACTATCGTGATCCTTGATCAATTCTCTATCGTTTGGTGTGTATTTCGATGTCATAACTCTAAAAATGATGCGTTGGGAGCATCGGAAGTCTGCAAGGTCATTTGTGCATTGGGTCACGTCAGGCGTGTGACGTCACTGACCTGACCCTGACCCAAAATGAACTACAAGAAACAACTGACAATGCCTGAAATGGATAGCAAATTCGAATTCAGGGCATCAAAATACCCCGAAAAGGCATACAAGTGCAAGAAGTCATTACAGGTCAACCGAGGTCACTGACCTGACCTTGACCTTTAGTAACCTTGAAAAGGTCAACGGACATTGTGCCAATGTCAAATCAGCCAGTTATGATTCTAAAACAATCCATCAGTGTGTCAGGTCAGTCGGCATTTATACCATTGTGAAGCAATCTCCAATTTAGCGTAAATCTGGCCGGAGGTTGTTCCCTTTATGACGTCATAACTCCGTGACCTGACATGACCTTGACAAAAAATTTTTACCAAAAGTTGCGCAAAGGATGCCCCAAAGGGTACTGAAAATTTGAGCAGGCTATCTGAAACGGTTCGGCGTGTAGCTAAGAAAAACCTCAGGGGGGGGGGGTTGCACCCCCCCCCCCCTACATGGGCGAGGGTTAAGTGGCTACAGGGGTAGCATAGGTTGTAAGTCTGGTCACTAACCGATTAGTTAGCAGGGCCTATGGATCTTATATAAAGGCAGTCAGCCAGTTCACTGTATACTGTATATACAGTGAACATTCATGTGCATTTTGCTGTTTGACTTAGTTTGTTGACACGAGTATCAATGGCTACTCCAAGCTTCTTAAAGTCACGGTAGGCAAAACCAAATACAACATAGGTAACTGATAGCCTCAGCCACCTCGATGTTCTTACCCAATATTCGGTAGCCCACTGTACAGGTGTGGGTCATCCAGTGTTTGTCTCGCAGATTGTACGGCGCCCGGTCCCTGCCCATCGCTCGCTTATTCCCTGTCAGACACATTGAGGAAGTTAGTCGGCATCTGTGTCCTCATATGTAGGCGGATGGTTCATTCATAGTCATACAATTTAATTATTCAGAACAACGTTCACGTCCCTTGTCCGATCGAAACCTTTTACCAAGCGTTTTATAACAGTAGGGTTATAGTGGCCAAGAAATCACCTTATTCTATCACAAACGTCATAATATAGTTAATTGCATTTCATGGCAGGCATTTGGAAGTTTATATAACGGCACATGTTCTGGATTGGTTGTATTCCACTCCAGCAACAATGGATCCAGGCCTATCCCGGTAACACCTTGATGCCAGCCTTAGCTACTACCTCGCTCGTCCACCCATCTCTGTCTCTACACCGGCACTCACAGATGACGAGCTCGTGCTGGCTGGTGACTGTGCGCAAGTACTCCCCATCCACGCTCCAGTCGAGCTGGGTCAGAGGCTGGGAGCCCTGCATTGGCCCGAACTTGACGTACACAGCGCCGTCCCGGCCCACCTTGTACGGGTAGATGCTGCCCGTCTGGGCGCCTATAGCCAGCATGTCACCGCCTGCAGGGTTAGTGAGAGGTCAGGTCAGCCGTCAGGTCACAATACCAGTCCAGATGAGGTACAGGAGAAGAACACGTCAGGCGACTTCAGACCAGGTCACCACAACAGGTCAAGTCCAAGTAGTCTGGCCAGCTTAGGTCGGGGAAGGGGAGGAGTGGTGAGCATTGCTGCTTGCACGACATTCACGACATAAAGTGCGCAAGGTATACGAATTGAAATTTGATACTTCGCAGTCCACACATCACCATATTCTCACCTCGACATCAGGTGATCACACGCTTCCCGACTTGCCTGGACTGTAGCTGATGCAGTTGAGAGGCTGTCCGCAGACCCTAAAAGAGCCCACCTGGGCGCCATCCGACAGTTTGAAGATGTACAGGTAGCCGTCCTGTGACCCCACCGCTACCACTGTGTCCAGGGGGTGTATGCTGCAGGCGACGCCCTCACTGCTGATCTGTAAGACACTGTTTTGTCAAGATCTGTTTTGAGAGCGCTGATCCAGCGACTATGTCTTATTTACAGTGTGGCCGGACAATGTATGTTCTCACTTCCATCAGGAGTAGGCATAGCTACCGCAAAGAAATGACTAAAGAAATGTTTGTCTGAAATGTATGCCTCAGCGTCAATATAGAGCGTTGCGGCCCATTTACAGCTTATGATCAATTCAGCATTCGGCATGGAGCATCTTCAAATATTGTTTTTTATACATGATCGTGACTATTTGTGTCTTTATTCTAGTAAGATTTACACTACGAACATATAGTGACATCCAGTGCACTTACTGGTGATTTCCACAAAAGTTTGTGTTTGGCAGACCACTTGGCTACGATCCGGTCATGGCCGGCCGTTACGAATGATTCCTCTTCGTGGCAGACGGCCAGACCCCACAGCTGCCGACTGTGGCCGAACACAACCTGTGGGAACACCGTCAGTGTCAGACTCCACAGCTGTGGACTGCGGCCGAATACAACCTGTGGAAACACCGTCAGTGTCAGACCCCACAGCTGTGGACTGCGACCGAATACAACCTGTGGAAACACCGTCAGTGTCAGACTCCACAGCTGTGGACTGCGGCCGAATACAACCTGTGGAAACACCGTCAGTGTCAGACTCCACAGCTGTGGGCTGCGGCCGAATACAACCTGTGGGAACACCGTCACAGTGTGTCAGACCCCACAGCTGCCGACTGTCACCGAATACAACCTGTGGAAGCACCGTCACAGTGTCAGACCCCACAGCTGCCGACTGTGA